GGAAGCGCGGTGTACAGGAAAGAGCACCCTTTCACAAAAACATAGCGATCGGCGGCGTCAAAAAAGTGCTTTGGGCTGATTATCAAAAGGCTGTGCTAAGTCCCGAAAAGTGCCTTAACTATGCAATCCTGTCATCTTGTTGCCCTCTCATAACTGACGTGCACATGTCTTCATGGTGACCTTTACAGAGAACCCTGAAATCAGACAGCGCACGCGTAAGGGGTCTGAAAAGTGCGGTGGGCTATCATAAACAGATTCAGTTAGAGCCGACTGACCTGCTAGTCCAAATCTTCTCGGATCATACATTACAGATGACACACTACGAAGTCCAGCACGATTATCGGTTACACCGGATTCCGCGATAACCAAATACTAAGCAGAGGTTGCTTCCGCGACAGAAGTTGTGCGTCACCCTTAATGTGGCAATAGTACGATCACCTTCACCTTAGTCGGGAAGTTCCTCGACGGATGGTCAGCGTGGTAGATAAATCAATTACCGTAAAGTTCAGCGTGTTCTCTAACTCGACATGAACGCAACCGTTTGGGAGTATTAAACTCAGGCTTCCTCCATCGCACAACCACCACGCCCTGACGGTCACATTGTCAGGAAAGGTTGTTGAGTAGGTCCACATACGATGCCCAGTTCCGATAAACATAATGGAATGCAGGACGGGTGGCCGACGGGTCTCAAAGGGTAGTTACTTGGGTCCTAAACAGGATGCCAAATGTGTCTTTTGGCTCCAAAAGTGACATAACAGAGGATCCCGTCATTTTACATCCTGTGGCGGACATTGTGCAATCCGAATCCTCTCCTCAAGCAAACGTCAACCACGCGTTTTATTGTTAAAATACTTTCCCAAGGGCACTTCTTGTCCCGAATTGGTGACACACATAGCGCCAGAGTCTTCGGAGGAATGTTAGTTGTTATTGTTTGATATTTAATAAGTCAGCTGAACTTTGCCGGCGACAGGAGGAACTGCGGTCGCCCCGCAACGCCCAACCACCCTACTTAGTCGCATGACTTCTCCAGATGGCTTCAACATGTAAAATACCCGGAGACCGAAAAAACGCTGATTTCGATAGTGCAGCGTGAAAAACCTTTAAGAAGTCAAACAATGTTCCCGCCAGTAGATTCGAGTAACCGGAAAGGTTACATACGTCAGGTGGTATATCCATGAAGGAATTGTGTTAACCAAACTGCTTGTACTCTTGAAATGGGAAGGGTGGCATACAGGAGAAATACCGTGCATGATCTCGATATCAACCAGGCGCGTTTACCACAACTGCGGACAGGTGGGGGGTTTTGGGAGCGGACATAGAGCCGCATAGAGCAAAATGACGCTGACATGTAGTTGGCCGGTTAAGGATATATTGTCATCATAATGACATGTACAGGCTGGAAATGTATCCGCGTTACGCCGGCACTTTTCAACTAGGGTGTAATGGTGGGGCCTACATGGAAAAATCGCAGCTAAGGCTAATGAGGTACTGAGCGAGTGCTCCAGAGGGAAAGCAAACAAGAAACCTTACCCAACACACAAGAGGCTTCAGTTATGGAAACGAAGCAGGCATCATCGCCATAAATCCACCGCGGACGAATTTGAGTCTTGTAGTAAGTGTGTTTATTGTCAAAACCAGAAACGGATGTCACAAATGCAAAGTGAGAACGACCCCTGACCGAATCAGATTGAAGACGACTCTCGAGATTCACTAGAGTACGTAATAAGCCTCGAGTCCGAACAACAAGACGGTTCATTAGACAATGGCCAGGGGAAAGGCAGCACACGACTAAACCATATTTACACCTGAACAAGGCGCTTCCCACCACAGTTTCACTAAATAATTTTGGAAGTTCAAGGTCAAATTATCAAACCTTCGTGCGATTAATCAAAGGTGAACGCACGGTTATTCAAAAATCAAAGCTTATTGATCATCGCCTTGATTTCTGCTAAGAATGGTCTGGGCATAAAACTGATACCAAGCAGTGGAGTGCTTGACAGAATTCTAGAAAGTAGTGGCTGGGGCGGGGTTAGCTGACAGATGTTACAGAGCAGAAGCCAAACTGGGCTAAGGGAGTGCTACCACTTTTACCAGAGAAAAATATTGAGTAGTAGAAAGAACGAAACAGGCAAGGAGAGAAGCAGATAAGGAATCAAAAAAATAATGATAAAACCGACAAACAAGGAAAAATGACGGAAGTGAACATGGAGCGGGGATGAGAGCCATAAAAAGCAGGTGGTTTTATTTCGTTCAAAAATGGCCAAGATACCAATATACAAAATAAAGAGCACGTACATACTCCGTTTACAACGACGGGCGTTCTTAAACCGTATGACTGCAGGATACGGGGGTAGTCATATGTCTCAAATGGTTGCTTCTACGTCCAGAAGTAAGCAAACTACCCTTTACGACATTTTAAAATGACTGGTCTCATTAGCTGATTATATCTGGAGAAATCACCGGTGTTTCTGGTGCACAGCGGGGACCTTCGAGGGTTCCTGTCAACGTCTATTCTCTTTCTCCTTTGTCTCAGCTATAGTCATCAATGGCTGTCGACATTTGCATATGCATTGATGTTTTAATATGGCCCACGACCACACTTCCTCCAAGGAAGATGTTGTTGAAATTTCCGAATTGATTTACTGATTGTCACGTCGTTTTGTTGACGCAGATATAACAATTTCTTGTATGTACCTAGGAGTTAGACTTCCGTTTTGTCTGCACTCAGTTTCAGACGACGGTACCATTTCATGAACACGACCAGGAACAGGTCGGGCAGTTATTGCTTCTGTCATCCCAGACCTGCAGATGCAGTTTTCATAAGCCGTCAAGAAGGTCTGAGGGAGAATATTCCCTATTCGCAGGGGAGTCAACCACCTATTTAGGCAAAATCTTCTGATGTTTTCTCGGAGCTCTAATGCAATCTTGTCTGCATACGTTGCATTCTAAAAAACAGTTCTAAAACAATTTTTGAAAGAAGGAAAATAATCTCATATGACACATTTATAACATGCCCCTTATAACATGTACTTTCGACCTGACCTGGAATACTGTTCGTTTTTAGTTAGCCCCATGCGTGCTGCCGAGCGGGAGAAAATACAATCCGTTCAATACTTTTTTTACCAAGAGAGTTTTAACCCCCAAGCACCGAATTTTGTCTTCCCAAGAACATTGCTGGCTTACAGGCCATGATCTCTTATGGTTTCGTAGATTACAAAAGGGACTATTTTTGCTATTTAAGCTTTTATATTAACGCACCTTTAACCCAATCACTACTTTAAGACATCATGTTCAACCCCGACGTAACAGTCACCGTGAGGTCTTTTTATTTCTTCCTCCGGCACGTACTGTTAAATATCGTCGATTTTTTTCTGTAAATGCAATTGCTATTTGGAATAAACTACCCAGAAGTGTGAAAACTCTGAAAAACTATCCTTTATTTAAGGCAGCTTAAGTCAGTTTAAGTCAGTTTATTAAGGGAATGAGGCTTTCGCCCTTGAGCTCCCTATTCATATCGATAAACAGAAATAAAGTCATCAATTACATCAGCAGATGCGAAAAGTTAAAAAATTAGCGGTAAGTGTGAGCTAGGCGCAAACTGCCGCCGCTAAAACAATCATTATTATATGTACAGTAGGTTCTCAACAAATGAGCGTCTAGTCTGCACTTAAAGGATTTGACACTTTCGGAAAGAACGACGGCATCAGGGAGTCCATTCCATGCCCCGATGACCCTGTGAGAGAAGGCGTTCCGTCGGACGTCCGAATGAGCCCGCTTCCTTTGCAGTTTGAAGGGATGACCACGCAGACAGTCAATCCGGGCCAATTCAAAAAATTCACCAAAGTCTAGGGCACACTCACGGCTTCTGACAATCCTGTAGGTTTGAATGAGATCACCGCGCAGTTGCCTGTAATTTAGAGAAAACAGATTTAGTTCGGTCAGCCTGGTTTCGTAAGGCAAATGATGAAGATTCTTGACCATTTTCGTAGCCATCGCCTGCACTCTTTCCAGTCGTTGATAATCTTTCTTTAACCACGGTCGCCAGGCCTGGACTGCATACTCTAAGTGAGACCGGATGAATGCCCCATAGGTTTTTCGGAACAGCTCCTTGACGATCTGCACAAATCTTCGCCTCAGCGCAAATAACACCCTTATCGCACTTTTGGCTGCCCTTTGACACTGTGAAGATGGTTTCAACGAGGAGGTCATTAGGACGCCCAGGTCTTTCTGTTCCACAACATTTGAAAGGGGCTGACCACCAAGGACATATTGAAAGGAATCGTCCTCCTTACTGGTCTGTCTGGTGCGGAGTCTCAGGACCACACATTTGTCCACATTAAAATTGAGGAGCCAGCGAGCTGACCAACTGTTTAGGCAGTTGAGACTGTCTTGAAGCGCGTACCTGTCTGCATCAGATCTGATGGGTCTCCACAGCTTAACATCGTCAGCAAACATGATGGCGCTGCATCCCAGGTCGTCGACGCAGTCGTTAATGTAAACCAGGAATAGCAAAGGCCCTAAGACGGAGCCCTGGGGTACACCACTTAGAACGGGGGTAGGAATCGACCTTGAGGTCTCAATGCACACGCTTTGCGATCTCCCGGTAAGAAAATCTGTTATCCATGTCAGCAGCCTTTCTCTTATCGCAATTTCAGAAATTTTGTAGATTAGGCGTTTATGTGGGACGCTGTCGAACGCCTTCTTAAAGTCTGTGTAGATGACATCGACCCTACCATCCTCGTCCAGTGCGCGAGTCCACTGCTCCATCGAGAGCAATAAGCTGGAAAGGCACGAGCGGTTCTGTCTGAAGCCGTGCTGCAGGTGTGAGATTAAATGGCCCTGCTCCAGGAACTCCATTGTTGCTTTCTTAACTACGGCCTCCATTATTTTACAGCAGATACAGGTTAGACTAACAGGCCGGTAATTGTTAGCATTAGTGCGAGCCCCGCCCTTGTATATCGGAAAGATATTTGCTGTCTTCCATTCCGATGGCAGCCTCCCTAATTCGAATGACGAGCGGAAGATTGCGCCAGTTGTTTGGAGAGTTCATTCGCCAGTTCCTTCAAGAATTTGGCTGGTATATTGTCCGGACCCGAGGACTTTGCTTCCTTGAGATTTTTCAGCTCCCTTTCCACGACAGCTGTCGGGAAGAGTATGGAGTCAAGCACGCGACCAGCAGTCTCAACAGCATTGCTAGCACTGCGACTGCGAAACTCTGTTTCCCTAGTAAAAACCGAGGCAAAATACTGATCTAAGTTTTCGGCTTTCTCGGTGTTCTCAGTGATCTCCACACCATTACCATCCTTCAGCACCGCGACCGGGTCCTTATTTTTCAGTCGACTGTTAAGATAGTGAAATAAAATCTTAGGTTTCTGTTCAGCCTGTCGGATAATTTTGGATTCATACTCCATCCGTGCCTGACGGATACATTTGTTGACAAAGCGCAAGAGACGCCCGGTCGTCGCCCGAAACAGGACCTTGAATGCAACCATTTGGTCCACCGTATGGCCCGTGTCCAATAAGTGCTTTGTGATTGAGCTTCTGGGTACCTTATTTTCCGCCTTAAGCAGCCACTTCGGCATGTGTTCAGCTGACCGAGCTGCCAATTGCCTTTGCGTGCGCCCGATGTACTTGCATCCGCAACTACATGTAAACTCATAAATACAGTTTGATGTGGCGTGCATAGGCAAAATGTCTTTAGCTGGTCTAACTGGGATGGCGGTTGTGGTGCTTATGAACAACAATTTAGAGGCGGCATACGTCCTTTCGATAGTGCACCGAAGTCGTCGCTTGATCACGTTTGACACACTATCGAAAGGACGTATGCCGCCTCTAAATTGTTGTTCATAAGCACCACAACCGCCATCCCAGTTAGACCAGCTAAAGACATTTTGCCTATGCACGCCACATCAAACTGTATTTATGAGTTTACATGTAGTTGCGGATGCAAGTACATCGGGCGCACGCAAAGGCAATTGGCAGCTCGGTCAGCTGAACACATGCCGAAGTGGCTGCTTAAGGCGGAAAATAAGGTACCCAGAAGCTCAATCACAAAGCACTTATTGGACACGGGCCATACGGTGGACCAAATGGTTGCATTCAAGGTCCTGTTTCGGGCGACGACCGGGCGTCTCTTGCGCTTTGCAGAGGCCGCTGCAATACGGAGGAGGAAACCAGAACTCTGTAAGCAGCTGGACCATGTGATAAACCTGGCACTGCCATGGTAATTATCGATTATGGACATTTGTTGACGGCATTTCGTTGACGACGAAATTCTTCGAAATGCGCTGGTGACGCAGTTTCCCTGAATATTTTCCATCTTTTGCTTTTCTTCCGTAGCTGCCTATTTAGGTCCCTAGTTAACCAAGCAGGTCGAATAGTTGTTTTTTGTACTTTAGGTGGACAACAGCGCCTAATCAGATCGAGTGAAATCGTCTTAAAAGATCTCCAGTCTTCCTCCGGATCTCCCCTGAGTATTTGGTCCCAATTCACGGACAGCAAGTCGTTCTTCATCATATTAAAATCTGCCTTCCATATATTAGGTTGGCCCTCTGTTCTCTTCTGGCGTTTAGAGAAGAGCCAGTTATCCCATAGTAGCGTAGTATGGTCACTTTTCCCGAGAGGTGCATTGGAATATACTTCGTCGATATTAGAGAAGTCTTTAGTGAAAACTAAGTCTAGACAATTCGCTCTCTGGTTCTCTCGAAATCTTGTTGGTACCTTCACATGTTGCGCCAGAGGGAGATTGAGTGTGAGGTCCAGTAGCTTATAGCTGAAAGAGCCTGGTCCGCCGTTAACTGCCATAGTTTCCCACTCTATTGCAGGTGCGTTGAAATCCCCAGCAATAAGTACCTCTTGGTGGCTAGCTACGTCTTTGACTAAACCAAGAAGCGACTCATCAGCTGCACTCAGAAGGTTTGGTGGTCTGTAAATCGCCAGAAATTCTAGATTTTGTGCATTGCTCTTCTTTATCTTTATCCAGACGGATTCATATTCAAGGGAGAGGGTGTGGGCTCTTTCAACTGCTGAAATTCCTTCCCTTACATATACGACTACCCCTCCGCCCTGCCTATTTTGACGGTCTCTACGAAACAGCTGGTAACCCGGTATCGAAATCTCAGCATCCAAGATTTCGGCATTAAGCCAAGTTTCCGTTATGGCGATGACGTCGGGGATTCGTTCCGGTACTATCGCTTTGAGTTCGTCGATTTTCGAAACGAGACATTGAGCATTGGTATACAAAAATCTCAATTTGGCACGATCAACTCCGGCATACTGGCGTTTATCCATTTCTTGGGATTGATTGCAGAAGCCGGTCGGAGCTGAGCGGGATGAACTGCTTTCCATCACTCCTAAGCTGTTAGAGTTATGGGCTTTCTCCAGAGGAATGGCCTCTGGGTGCGTATAATTTTTTCGTCCGCTATTCTGAGATTTGTCTCGCCCAGACTCGACCGCCTGAGGACTTCCAAGTTGAGACCCTCCATTTTTCTCGCTCCGCGGGTGAAAAGTCCCGCTGAAAAAAAACTGATGGATGGGCATGCTTAAGCGCAGCTTTCCTGCTCAAAAGTAGTTGCGCTTGTTCGTCATTCTCAAAGACAATTTTTAACGGTCTCGGTCGGTCTGGATCTTGTTTTGAGTCTTTAATTTTGGCCATCCTAAAAGCCTTTAATACTGTGACTTTTTCGTCTCCTACTAAGATCGATTTGAGATATTCCTGGAATATTTCTATGTCATGCTGTATTCTGTCCTTTGGAGCGTCGGATGCATTTACTGCGATCAACTAGACGGCCTTGTGGTATAATCATACCTGCAGAGTCTTCATCGCGCGCATCCCGGCTACAACCTTCCACCGATTTAGGAAGGTTTGATTCTGCAGGCCTAACGCATGACTGCCTGTTTACTACGATATTTTGATCATTTTTCGTTTTCAGCGACGCGATTTTCGTGTGCGGCGTAGCCAACTCTTGTTCCCTTGTCTGACTTTCTGTGCCTTTTCGAGGTACCCTGAGATTTCTTTTTGTTCGCTGAGATCGCGTCTGACCGCGCTTTTTTCGCACAAGACACTGGGTGTCATTCCTATGAACCTCTAGCGACCTGCTATTTTCTTTCTCCTCCGTCGACACAGCCGAGGAAGCCGTGTTTGCGTATGTTCGCTCGCTTTCATTCTCTTTAGATGAATAGCGAGGGAGATTCCTCAGTTTCTCCATCTCCACTTTAAGGCCCTTTATCTCCTTCTCCATTTCCGCAAATTTTTGAAGGAGTCCGAAACATGTCGTACAGGCTTCGTCTTCGTATTTGATATCCATACAGCTTACTATACTCCTTGCTCGTTTAGCGGGAGGTGACTTGACAGCGATATATACAGAGTTGCAGTCATTTGTACTACGAATAATGTTTACTCCTTTATTTATTCCAGTCCGTCCACCGTGCGCCGATAGTGTAGTGGTGATCACGCTGCTCACCCCACGACGGAACCTGGGTTCAAATCCCACTTGGTGCGGGTCTTCTGCACATTGTCCTGATGGTGTTTTGTCGATTCCCATTATTAATTCAAAGGATATGCAAGGTATTCTTGGTACGGGACGAAGTATTTGAAGGTGTAGGAGAAGCTTTTTAACCAAGCCAACAATATGAAGCAAATAGCAAACGACTCAACCGCTCTTGGATCAGGAGAGTCCCGCGGTGCCGTTGGCAGAGAATTGATACGAGGGAGAATGGTCGTTCCAAAGAAAGTTCTGTCGGAGTTCCGTGTGGATCGTTCGAGGAATTGCTGATTAAGTTTCAATTTCTTAATCCAAATGGGCCCGCGATGCGTCCAGTAGGCAGAAATCCCGGAAAAGGCAAATCCCTCGGAGGTCGAAAATTCGAAACCGAATTCATGAAATGATGTTACTCAATTATAGGACGTAATATGCTTTGTAACGTAGATCTTTCGGGATGTGGAATAAAGGGGAAATTTCGCTAGTTTCGAATGACGTGATGGTACATCTCCCAGTAATGGTCAAGTTTCCTCTTAAATGTGTCGATGAATGACAGATTTAAGAGTAAACTTGGCCAATACCGGCGAGGGTTAGTGACGATCGAACCGGAGGGGGTTTAGAGCGCTCTCGCCAAAAGGATTCAGACTACATCTCTGAGTGGTTACATAGATAGGACATCGCGTCCCGTGAAGAGCACGATGCATGGACTAAAAAGTTCAGCGATCGAAATTTCTATATTAAATAACTAGTTGTTTTTATTTACGACAATTGGATCTTGTTATAGCAAGCAAACATAAATTTTCATATGAATATCGAACAGGTAGACAGAATCTGTACAGAATTCATTTCACGCTTATGGAATAAGCAGTCTGATAAGAAAAATGGTTAACGAGCGGTGAAAAACTTCTTCATCGAGTAAACAAAATACATGTGAATGGATTAACTTTAAAGGGGAAAATATGTCGCCCCTGAAAGGACAAGTATACTGGTCAGTCAGGACTGGCCTGAATGTGGTAGTGTACAAGGATCCGAAACGGACATCGTCAAGGCAGAATTCTTACACCGAATGAGGCTATTCGCGTCAAAGTGTGAAGACGAGGGGGACTCAGACGCGATTGGTCCCAGTCCGCTTCGAGCCAAGCCGAGGAGGGGGCAAGGGAGATACGATCATGAGATCTCTTTGTCGACCGAACAAACTACTAGTAAATGACAATTACATGGGATTCTACCGTGAGCGTCGACAGACCACTTGAGTTCAAAATGAGAAATTACATCAAGAGCCGCGGAAATCATCGCTGCGGAGGGAGAAGTAATAACAGTAGGTTTAGTAGTCTATTAAAAGCAGGACATTGTACAAATATCTGTGAAGGTTTCCGATCGATATGTCATTAAATCCCAATAGGGCCCTTTTCAAATCCAAGAATTTGAGTGTTCGGGAGTGAAACGGTCAGTAGTGACTTTATACTTTTCGGTTTAAGGTGTTTGTGTAATAAACAAATAAATAATAACTAATTTTTATTAAAGACTCATCGGGGTTCCATTACAATCCGTACAAAATGTAATCCATAGTTCCTGAATAAGTAGTCCGTTAGGAAAAACGATGAGTGAGCAGTGAAAAAAACCCACACAAGAATTCAAAAAACGATTTGATTGACTTTACAGGATGAAGAAAACTGTCGCTCACAATAAGACAAAAATGCGGACAGGACTGATTTGCATAACGGATTATAAACAGACGTCGTCAGGTCCGAAATGAATGTCAGCCTTGGGGGGTACGTATGCGGTTCAGACAGGAGTAGCTTGCATGTGGTATTGTATAAGGGATTGAAAACCAAAATCGTCCGGACGGAATTCATACACCAGATGAGGCTATTTGCGTCAAAGTGGCGAGATGAGAGGGACCCAGACGCGATTGGTCCCAGTCCGCTTCGAGCCAAGCCGAGGAGTGGGCAAGGAATGTACGACCAAACTACTAGTAGACGGTGAATACTGAGGGTTCCGCCGTGAGTGTCGACAGACCGCTTGAGGTCGAAATGAGGAAATGGGATCCAGAACCTCGAAAATCGTCGCTATGGGAAAGGAGTGATAGCTGTAGATTTAGT